CTTACGCAGTCAAAGTCCTTCATAAAGTGGGGTGCCGTAGCTGGGAGCAAAGTAAACAGTGGGTAGGGAAGAGTTGATGATCCCCCGCTCCCCCCCCCCATGTGACAATTCTCAATTTTCTTCCTCAGAAGGCAACAGCCCTTTCTTCATATACGACAGGGGTTAAGCCCATGGCTGAGCTCTTGAGCTGATAGGAGGGAAGGAGAAAAGAATGAGAGTGACAGTGCTCATGCCTTCCTCCTGTCAATGCACTTATATATCCGGTCTATGCTTTTCCTGTTCAAACATTATTCATGGGTTGGCCATAGGGGTCTATCTAAAAAATATTCGTCGCACTGCTGGTAATTTTCAGCCTTGGTGTAATCCTGGCAGGGGTCCTGCACCAGGGTGCGACTCACAAAACAAAAAAAAACCGTGCAAAAGGACGCTCCCATATGGAAGTTCCCTCAAAGTTCCTCATTCGAGGCTATCTCTTCCACAACCTAGCAGCCCTCCCACCAACTTTTGCAAAATTTTTGGCGTTGAGGGGGAGGGTGAGAGATAGATATGATCCGAGTGAAACAGCAAAATTTTTTGAGTTATTACAAAACCAACCTCAAATGTTAAATCAAAATCCTCGGCGCTTTCTATCTGTTCGGCAATTATGCTCATCTCTGCAATGTCTTGGTCATCCATTTCCGGCGAACGTTCGGCGCGATCTTCGTGAGAATTTTCTTCACGAGCAACATTGTCATTGTGCTCTTCGGGGGCAATCTCAGGTGAGAAATCTCCTAACTCGATGCTTGTGTCTTTATCATCGTCCACGTAGGGAATCTGTGAAGATAGTTGCATCTTAGTTGACAAAAAAAATCCATACAAAGGCCACAAAACCAACCTGCTCTCCGAGACTCTCTTCAAAGCGAACATTTTCAGCTTCATTTGACATATCTCCTAATTCACTGCTTGCGTCACTTTCGTCCCCCATGGAGCAATCTGTAACGATGATAGAAATTAGGACAGCATAACAGGAGTATAAGAAATCAAATCAAGAGCGTCGAACTACTCTCATCAGAGGATTAAGTTCGAGTAAGTGGTGTATGGATGCTATGACTTTCCTGTCAAAAACCCACACACCCGCACACAAAGTAAGCTGATTATATGGTAGGGTTCTTAGCGAAAAACCAAATATTCAAAGCATAACTGAGAGGATACGCTATCAACCTCATCAGAACAATCACTATGGGAGCTTTTCAGGACTATCACTATTTGCTGAAGTAAACTAACAATGAACAAAAAACGATCGGGGAAAACCTCCACAATTCAGGCACCTTGTTGAAACGGGAGTTGATTCCTGAACAGGCTATACGAAACCATTTCATACGTGCAAACAATAAACGATTTGTAGAAGACCGGAGAGAAGAAGCTTTCTTGAAAAAAGCACCGCTTTTCAAACAGAAGTTTTTTGAAATCAGAGGATTGGCGCGTCACGCGCAGGGACCGCGACGCGTTCATATCGACTGTTTGGAGCGCGTTATTTCTCAGTGGAACCGCGCAATGACCCGTGTCCTACCCAGGGCACATCGTTGTTGGGGAATCCCCAACAGGGGGGGGGGGTCGTATTTGTGCTGAGAAAAGTTTTTTTGATAGTTGATTTTTCTTGTGCCAGGGACATTGTGAAGGAGGGGGATCGTATTTGTTCGTTGCTGGGAGGGGAGCCTGTTTCACTTCTGGCCTTATGAATGAGAGATTTTGCTGACTTTTCGTTGTTTTTCCTGTTTCATGTATACTATTTACCCCCCCCACTAGAATCCTTTCATTCTATAAACCAGTAACTTTGTGTGTCGGTTTGTATGTTTGTATGTATGTAGGTTTGTATGTATGTTTGTCTGTCCGTCCGCAAAATACTTCACGGGTTCGAGTTCGCTGGAGGCGAAAACGACCGCTAGGCAAACCGGTAACCGACTGGGAGGATGTAGCAGTCCAATGATTTGATTGTGATAACAGCCTCCGCTATATAAGACAACCATTCGGTACACTCCGAGCCATTGCACGAGCTGCTGGCGTGGCAGCTGGACGTGTGCTCGTGCGGGGGCAGGGTGGGGGTACCGGGTCGCCCTGCCTCCCTCTCCTGCACGTGCTCAGCCGGAGCTGAGCAAGTGTATGGGAGGGAGGCAGAGGGGAGGGTCGCGGGGAGGGGGAACAGTGAGGGGTGCGTAGCGCGCGTTTCAGTAGAACGCGCACCAAGGGATGAGGAAACAACCGCTAACAAAACTGCAAGCCAATCTATGTTACCGTAACGAACTAAGAAGTTGTTTTGGTTGTGATAACACTCTCCACTATATAAGAAAACCACTACACTCCGAGCCATTGCACGGGTTGCTCGCGTGGCAGTTGGACGTAAGCGCGTGCAAGGGGCAAGGTGGGGGGGGGTGGAGTGGCGAGTACGGAATGGGGTGAGGTGAGGAAGGTGGGAGTTAGTATCGAGTGACCCCCTTCTCCCATCCTCACTCCCTTGCGCGTACTCAGTCGTCTGAGCCCATGCAGGGGAAGGAGGCATATGGATTGAATCGGGCAAACTGGGTACAGTAAGGGGATGCGTAGCGTACGCTTGAATAGGAGCAGGCGGCAAGAGAGAAGGAAAGAACCGCTAGCAAAACTGCAAGCTAATCCATGTTACAGCAACGAACTAAGAAGTTGTTTGGATTGTGAATCGCTCCCCTATCTAAGCCAACCACTGTGATATACTCTGTGCTACTGCAGGAGCTGCTCGCTTGGGAGCTGGACGTGAGCACGAGCAAGGCGGTGGTAAGAACAGTGGCGGCGTAGTGTCCCTATGTTGCATGGCGGCTGCATACCACGTGGGTGCCGGTTAAATAGGGTCAGTGGGATATGATGTGGTGAGGGGATACCAGATGAGAACGGCGATTTCGCGATTAGGAGCACATAGCCCCTGCGGCGGTAAGGCGTCTACGGTTGCGACAAGATGGGAAGAAAATGGATCGACCGCAATCGGATCTGAACCGATTAATGTTGCATTATCAAATTGTGGTAGCGTTTTGATAGTCATAACACCCTCCACAACACAACCATTTAGTGCACTCAGAACCATTGCACGGGCTATTCGCGTAGCAGCTGAGCGTGACCTGTAGGGTGGCTGAGCGGGGAATAGCTGAGGTTAGTTTGGGGATAGGTGAGGTGAAGGGGTACCATATTGGCGCGACCGACGCTCGCCTGAACAGGAGCACGCAGCGACTGCGGAGACCGAAGGCTGTCATAGATGGGGAGGAGAGTAATCGATTATCCATGACCAGATTTTAAACTTTTCATTATAAAAGTGCCCTGCGACTATATGGCGCGTTCCTACATTTATTTGATTAGAAGACACCGGTTAGTCACCATGAGAGCATCATAAATGCCTAAGACAGTAGTATCGCCCTGCTTATGCCTTACTTTGCTCCTTTCTTTCACGAGTTAAGAAGTGAGGCTCTGCTATCATCCGGCACTGAGCAGGCGAGTTAAGAAGTGAGGGTCTATGCATTGAGCCCGGCGAGCGGCTCCAAAGAAGGAGGAGAGCTCGGCGTTAGCGGGCGATCCGATGGTTTTGTGATAAAATACGAAAATTTTTGAGGAATTCCGAAAAAAAAGTGGTAAGAAATTGGGAAAATCGAAGAAAGGGTAGGTAGAATGAGGAAGGGGTGGGGTCGTACGGACTTGACCAAAAGTCCTAACCAATGATGTGCCCTGCTTACCAGTCTTTCATCGAATTACGTCCACAAGTTGTTGAGCGCCTCTCTGTTACGGCAGAAAGGTGCCAAAATAGTCAGGCGTCATCACAGTTGGAGGAGGGGAGACTCGCCAGCTCCTATGTATCCATTCCTCTAAACTAGGCTTAGGCTTAGGTTTAGTGGAGACTGTGTCTTGTCTGCAGAACATCCCTCGGCGACTCTGGTCGTTTGGGCTCTAAGCCTGAGCCTTTTTGAGTAAAGAATTTAGAGACTCGGTCGAGTGTTCCCCTTCCCACCCTCTTCCCACAACTACGTTACTCAGCGCCAAGAAGCGTAGATGAGCGAGCCACGTGGCGTGCCTGCTTTTTTGCATGGTGCGAGAAATCGCTTTATTATAAATTGAATGGGAAAAAATCACCACATCTGGAGCGTCTCTGACGATTTCTTTTGCTTTTTTCTTGACAGCAAGAATGACGAAACCCTCTGCTTGGGATTCCTCCTCCGTTGGCCTCGAGTCGTGAGCGAGTACGTTCGCTCAGTTCATACCATCAGCGGGGCTCAGTATTATGACGACCTTGCGTTATATGTATGGAAGGTAGATCTCGTAGTACACTGGCTTCACAGGAGGCTTCGGCAAAGATCGATGGGAACCAGCAAAATGCCCCCACTAAGCCGAACTTCACCGCGATATGAATTGAGAGACTGAGCTCACTATTCATGCTCTTAATCTGACATCTAGGATATTCTGTCCTTTCCACCTGCCATAAACGGATACTATCTCACCTGTCAGTTTACATTCCGCAAGATCAACCAGTGGGCTTTAAAGATTTTGTATGAACTGGTTGATACATTTATTTATTTGTTTATTTATTTACACCTCAAGCTGTGTCTTACAGAAAATTTGTGCGGTTTGCAGTGCATGAATGGAAATAAAAAAGAGGCAGAAACTCACCTAATAGTAATCCTGAAGAAAGAGGAAAATTGTGATTGCAGTTCTATAAGGTAGCCTACTCCATTCAGAGGATAAGCGACTTCTGATAGTTGGTCATAGGTGTCTACCCCCTCCCGCTAAACGATGAATTTGTTTGAAAAGTGTGGTAAGATGGTCGCTGTAATCGGTCAATTGTGGAAGGGTATCGCACCGGAGGAGAAGCTTTAGGTGAGAGGGGGGGGGACGTACAGAGCGGAAATTTTTCGCAGTTCGGCTTGATGATGGCATTTCGCTGGATCCCACCTATCAATGCCCTTACCTCTTGAAAAGACTTGTTAATTCCTGTGAGTTATGCGATGGCAGGAGCTTGGTTTACGTTCGACGAGTGTCTACAGGTCTCATGAAGATAAGATGTGCAGGTTAACAGCGAATTGCAAAACAACTAACTGTGCCAAATGTTCCCCCCCCCTAAGCCGAACAGCGCTCACGCCATTTGATTACAGTCACAACTGTGAGCCCACTATGACGTGCATTGCTCCACCAAAAATCGACACATCGAATCTAAAGGCAAGTGGCTCGATAAATCCCCAAAACGTGTAGGTTCAAGAAGCCTAGCAGGACAGGGTTCGGCGCCCTGAGCTGTCGCTCCATGGAATGTACCCTTATAGCGCCCTACCAAGCTGCAACATACCGACCCAGACGCTCACCGCGGTCGCCCGTCCACAAAGCTCGACCGATGCTGATGCTCGTATCGCTCCATTTGTATAGCATGAAGCGAAGGCAGTGATATTGAGCGGCGCGGTGCTGCATAGAAATATTAGTCTATACATGCTGCCGTATCTACCGTAGCGATTATTGGCATGATGCCAGTGGAAAACTCGTCCAAAATTGCTCTCTACCTCGTGTAGAACAAATGTTTTTGCAGGTTTTTGACCGCTTCACCTGGCTGTTCGCCGTCATCTCACTATATAGAACCTTTACTACCATTTTACACCAAATAACAATTACCGTAGCCTTTGAAGATTGAACAACGAATCTAGTGATAAATGATCACACATCCTTTATAATCGCATACATCAAAAACTCGCCTCCGTTAACTTGGAATTTGATGGGGTAGCCATACACCGACGAGAATACGCCGAAGCAACATACATCTTCGCCCTATTCGAAATGATGAGTAAGGATTTTTCCGACCATTTATTTTTTGTGCTAGGAAAAAAGCATATAGAAAAGAATGAGAGCATAAAATGCGACCTGGAAGCACTCAAACAGGAGAAATAAAAAAAAATTATACGAAAAATATGCTTGCAGAGAGGGTATGAGAATCAC